CACTGGAGCAGGCGCCCGACGTCGTCCACGTTGATCGGCGCCATCGCCCACCAACAAGTTCTTGAAAGATGCCATCGCGATGGCCAATCGCCGGCAGGCCGGATGGTTATCCGGATACCCCACATGGATCTTGAGCGGGCGCGCCAGACCCACGGTCTTATTGACGCCAAGGATGCTTGTGGCCGTGCAACAATAGCCTGGTACCTTGCGCGATGCATGGGGCGCATACGTATAGTATTGCTGCGGCCACCTCTGCCCTGTCACCAATGCAGGCCTACACGGGACCAAGTCGGCAGCTTCATGAGCTTCGTGATGGCTGTACCAAGGCGCAGGAGCCGCCGCCGCTTCGGCATCTTGGCTCTCAACGCCTTACTCGTTCGAATACACCAAGCGGTGTCGCCACGTATGGGTGGCCGTGAAGGAATGGTATGTAGTTGGTAGCAAAGACCATATCAAACGAACAAAGGGCGTACATTAGCATCAATGTGGGCTCGTATGATGCGACCGCCTAAAGGACGACATGCATTTACCGGGAGAGGTCCATGAACTCGGCGTGGAACTTGGCCGTCTTCTCCATGGGTTGAACGACCCGGATGGTGGCGTCGACGTTCAAGCCATGCACAGCTCCATTCACACGGACGAACTGGTTGCAGAGCAGCTACACGCGACGGCCAAACCAAGATCGTCTAGTAATCGGTCCTCTCGATTTGGAGCCACCCGGTCGTGCATCGCGTCACTCGCGTGCAAATGCTGTGTAGGCCACAAACGACGCCAGAGACGTTGATCGTGCTGACGGTTCTCGCCGCCGGCCCGATTTTCTCGGTCAGAGAGTTCGACAGAATGTACATCGACTCGACATACTCATGCGAGCAGGTCATCTCGATGGCAACCAACGACGTTCGACCAGATATCCGGATACCACTGGGCGGCTGGGGCATCAGTTCGCTTTTCTCGGCCCATCACCACAGCATCGGCCTGATTCCAATGACCTGCCTCGTCCTCTTGCATCGGCCCTGCGCCATTCGGCTGCGGGGTTGGTGCGGCGTTTGAAGTCGTGCTTGTTACGCTCTACATGCGCTGCGATCCCAGGCGCAATGAATGTACGAGGTTTTCCAGCGCGTGTGCATCGGCGTCACGGCTTCCCACGGCACCAACGCCTCCAGTATGTCTTCGCGGCCCTTGACCACGATCGCAAGGGTGGCTCATGCGCTCTTGTGTAGGGCTTGGGTCGTTCTCCAAGGTACCGGCGACATAGCATGACGCAACGAGTGCGTGAGACGCCAAGCAAGGTCGGTCAGCACAGGCAAGCCGAGGCCACGGAGGCGGCTTGGAAATCTGGCGACGACGTCGAGCGAGCGCCGTCGCAGCGCAATGCGGCCATGACGGACTCGGCGTTCGACGCTCTCGTACGGGACATCGACGCGTGGTTCGCTGCTCCGGGCAAGGGATACGTACCCGTCAAAGGCTTTGCGCTGGTCGCTCGCGGCAACAGCGGCAAGTGGACTGACGCTGAGTCCCGAGCGTACGCAGCCCTAGAAGGCCTCAAGAAGCTCGACGACGCCTCCTTGTCGCTGCTGCGGAGCTTTTGCTGGCGCGGCGACAAGAACAGATCCAGCGACGCGTACGTTCTCGATTGCCTCCATAGTATCTCACCTCGGCGCATAGGTTTCGCAGCGCCCGATTCCGCAACAACAGCAAGACCACGACCCCTGCCGAAGAGTATTTACCTCCGTCCATGGAACGTTCGATGTCTTAAAGGGTTGTAGGCTGCTCGAGCAGGAAGGTCGCGCAGGCGCGAACAAGGTGGCCACGAATGGCAAGAAGAAGCGCCGCGCTGACGACCAGCCTACACGGTACAAAGACGATTCAAGGAAACGAGATGCCATACTGCATGTGTATAGGGACGATGTGTTGAAAAAGGCCAAGGTTGCGGATAACATTACGCCGCCTACGGATCGCTGCAACGAGCTCCATGGGTTGCGCAGCGACCGAGCTCGTCGCGACGCGTTTGAGCTCAAGATTGGCGACGAGCTTCATGGACTGCGCCAGGAGCTTGGTCGTCGCGACGCGTTTGAGCTCAAGATTCGCGACGAGATTCATGGGCTGCGGCAAGAGCTTGGTCGTCGCGACGCGTTTGAGCTAAAGATTCGCGACGAGCTCCATGGACTGCGCCAGGAGCTTGGTCGTCGCGGCGCTTGGATGTCGGCGAGTGAGGTCCGCGACGCTGCGTCACTCGACATGGCACGCGACGAGTTCTGCGCCCTGCGGCAAGACCAAATCTGTCTGGCTGAGCATCCCACGACACAGCGTGTCGCGACAGCCGCGGCCATGCAAGCCGTACGTATGATCTATTAGTGCAAGTCGTGAACCCACGCGTTTCGCAGGTCCGGACGGCCGAGACCCAGGAGCCGCGCATTTGGCTGTCGCATGTGCTGTTGACACCAGCCATGCTGAGTCAACCCCTGCCAGCGATCCCCGAGGGTTACAACGGCCCATTGGCTATGTATATCCTCGACGATATCACAGGGCTGCCCATCCTTGAAGACGAGCTCAAGATCTACCCGTTCCTCGTCCCGGCAGCCGAGTGGCTTCACTCGTGGCGCGCGAGCTTGACGTCGGCTGCCCAGGGTGCAATCTCCAACATGGAGACGGTGAGCACTTGGCTCACGCCTGCGCTGTCTGCTCAAGACGCTCAAATGGGCAACAATATCAAGAAAATCCTCGACAAGCGCGACCCGACGCGCAATCTCTGTGGTACCGAGACTTGCATGAGCGAATCCGGCCACGAGGTCTTGCGCGGCACGAAGCAAAGCGTTGCCGAGTACAAGGAGCGCATGGCGACGAACGCCCGTAACTACGTCCGCATCTCGTACAAGCTGGAACGGCCATCAAACCAAAGTCTTGGACCCTCGTGGGACTTTCTTTAACCCGTTCGGACGTGCAGATTTTCTAACCCCAGAATTCTATGAATCTTCGGAAGCTTGTACTATGAAAGCAAGAAATACAGCATCGCATTGTGTCGACAACTAGTATCCGACACCGAGGCCGAGTTATCAACAACTATCCGATCTTGGAATAGGACCGTAGGTAGGTAAGAACATCATGCCGACCTCGTCTAACGTTACCACAGTTTGCAGCTTCAAGCCACTTCATGCGTCTCGTGATGGATGTAGCGAGGCGCAGGAGCCGCCGCCGCTTCGGCATCTTTCCTTCTCTCAACGCCTTACTCGTTCGAATGCACCGAGCGGTGTCGCCACGTATGGGTGGCCGTGAAGGAATACACTTGTAGTTGGTAGGAAGACCATATCAAACGAACAAAGGGCGTACATTAGCATCAAAGCGAGCTCGTATGATGCGACCGCCTAAAGGACGACATGCATTTACCGGTAGAGGTCCATGAACTCGGCGTGGAACTTGGCCGTCTTCTCAATGACTTCGTCGATGGCCTCCTCGGGCGGGAGGATCGTCGAGCGGAAGTGGAACGTGCCATCTTCCTGGCCAAAGCCCGAACCGGGCACGACGACGATACCAGTCGCGTCGAGAAGCGCCATGGCGTAGAACGCATCGGGGGCGACACCGCGCTTGGTGGCCTCCTCCACGGCCTTCTCGGGCACCGTGATGCGCGGGAAGGTGTACATGGCACCCTCGGCGGCGTTGCACGAAACACCCTCGAGCTCGTTGAAGGCGGCGACGAGCTTGACGGCGCGGCGCTTGAGCGACGAGAGAATGCCGTCGCGCTGCGCGATATAGAGCTCGTACGACTCGTCGCCCTCCACCGGCGGGTTGGTCATGAGCGCAACCATGAGCTGGCCCTCAATGTTGGAGCAGAGGTTGATCGAGACGAGCTTGTAGAGCTGCTCCATCGCGTCGGCGTTGAAGTTGACGAGCTCCATGTAGCCGCCGCGGCGACCGCACTCGCCGGTGAAGCCCTTGGACGTCGAGTGGAACGAAGCCAGTTCGACGCAGTCGTAGTCCGGGCCCATATCCTTGAGCACCTTCTTGAACGAAACAAAGTGCTTGTCTTCGGCGTACACGTTCTCCTGGTAGACCTCGTCGGCCATGAGCACGAGCTTCTCGTCCTTGCAGAACTGGACAATGTCGCGCATGTTGTTCTCGCTCAAGCACTGGCCCGTCGGGTTGCCCGGGTTGATGACGACGAGCGCACGCACGTCCTTGCCGGCGTTGCGCGCGTCCTCGATCGAGCGCGTGAGCTCGGGAATGCCCATGCCCCAGCCCGACTTTTCGTCGAGGTAGTAGCCGCAGAGCGAGCCGCCGTTGATGGCGATCGTCGCAGAGTAGAGCGGGTACTGCGGGATCGGGACGAGGATGCCGTCGTTGTGGTCGCGGATGAGCGCGAGGAGCATCGACTGAACCGCCTGGGACGCACCGTCCGTGAGGAAGATGGTCTCCGGGTCCGCCGCGTGGCCGTCGCGGCGCTCGAGGAACGCGCAGACCTCTTCGCGGAGGACTTCGTGGCCCTTGGAGTGGCCGTACGCGCCCGTGCCCGACGGGATCTTGGAGAGGTAGTACTTGGCACGCGCGATCGCGTCAGCCTTGAAGATCTTGGGCGCATCTTCGTGGTCGACGAGGCCGGGCATGTTGATGAGCGAGAGCACTTCGCGGTGGAACGTGATCGGCTTCTGGCCAAGCGACTGCGGGTTGCCAATGTTGCACGCGATGATCTTGTCGAAGGGCAGCGACTTGTCGCCGGACGCGAGCTGCTTCTTGTAGGCGTCCGAGCGGAGCACGATGGCACCGCGGACGGCGTACTCGGCCTCGACGATACGCGGGTTGATGGTCTGCTTGGTCAATACGCTCATCTTGCGCAAAATCTGGAACTGGCGCTGCATGGTGAGGACGTCGGCGGCGGCGGCGGCGCAAAGGCGAAGCAAATGTGAGATTGCCCTTGCCCCAGCGTGTGGCTGGATACTGCAAAGTCGGACTTGGCCGAAACGTACCCATGTCAAAGTCCGAATTAGATGGGAATACGCCTAATTCAAGGTGGCGCCGATCCCCAAGGGGCACAATGCACGCGCATTGGCCAAAATATCTCTGAACACGAGATGTGATTGGCGGAAATAGCGTGCCGGCCTGGCGTCACTGCAGCTGAGTTGATGGATTGCACCAATCAGAATGCGTTTGTCGCAGCCACTCGAACGTGCGAGCACCCAAGTGAAGTTGGGGTGTGGACGACCGCTCGGTCAAATCTGCACGACCCACCAGAGGTCGTGCAGAATCGACGCGCCCATGAGCGGGATGGGCTACCATCAACCGTGAAGGGATGCGGTGTCGACGACGGCGCTCGGTAAAAGAAGCAAAAAAGAGATGGAGGTGGTCGGCGTCCCACGAATGCGGCGACTGGCGACGGTGGGACCTTGCGTCCAAGGACGTCCTTCACATCCGCGACAGGCCCTTGGATCCTGATTTTACCCAACTGCAAATTCAGGACCAAGATCGGCCCTGTTGAAGATACGATCTTTCGACAAGTTTCTGGCGCGGACTGACGCGCACGTCTGTGGCACGCATCTTGCCAAGCCCACGGAGCTTTTCCGGGATGACGTGGCAGGCGCAGGCAGCACCGTTCATATTGGCTACCGAAATCTTGGGAAATCCACTTCGTCCATGATATGCACTACGAGGGGGCGGCCGCCGCGATGCTCGGGGTGGCGACGACACAGTGCGTGCCGCTGCCTCCCTCGCAAACGATGGCGAACGGGAGTGAATTCGATTCGCAGCAGCCGTTGCGGCCTTTACCGCCAGCTTGTTTCAAGCACGCTGGCCGTGAATTCTTGTGGCTTGATTCACCCGCGCCCATAGAGACGCATGTGTAAAGGCGCTGGATTTTGAGGGGAGTATCATCACAAGGTTCCTTCCGATGTGGAGTAGTGGGTCGCTCCAGCCGCAACGCGAAAGCGCGCTGCTCTCTGCGCAGGAACCAAGGCGAAGGAATGATTGCCTTGCGCATCGATATGCCTTTGCTACAGTATGTAGCGCGAGGTACTTTTGGACGGGTTGACGTTGACAGGCGCCGAAGGTGTGGTGAAGCGGAAAGTTGTCTTGGTGCCTGGCCGAATACAGTACTACCTTGAACGCAAGCTGTGCTCACACCTGTCGACTCTTAGGGAAATGGCTCTCACTCGCGAAGCCACTTACGCCCCATTTGGCGGCCAGCGCACCCCTTGTATGTGGTGCAAGACGAGGCAAGAAGAAGGGGTGACTAGCGAAAACAATAAAGCCGGCAGCGAACGTGAACGTCTCGATGGGTTCATGCTTCACAAAGGCGGCGGCGACGTCGACGAGAGCCTTTTATATGTTCCAAAAGGGATGCTTGAGATGCTGGTAAGTTCCTGATGACGCTCCTTCAAATCCAAGAACCTGTTGTAGATCCAACACCCCCGCTGTCCCCGACAACGTCGGGGACAGCGGCGTGGCCAAGGTGATGGACCTCAACATCGGTTGCCACGCGATCTTAGTCAGCTGTGAACCCACTCGTTGACCGATTGCGATCAGCCGAGAGCGTAGCAAATGGGAGCTTTGTTCGTTTGGCGCGACCTGACGCGGTGCCGTCGCGTTGCTTGTTGAGACTTCAACGTTGCATAAAAATGCAGCCTGTCACTTGACTTGACGTTTCTATGGACCCCACGGACCAATGGCATCGCGCGATTTCGGAAGGTGCTTTCGACGGCTTCAGTCGGCAGGAGCATGGCGTCGGCGATGAGCGAGGACATGAAGATCGCGGGCGAGCTCAACCGCATGGTGCAGAAGGAGGTCGAGACCATGTTCGACCGCATGGAAGGGTACGCGCGAGGTTGCCAGCGACCTCTGCCACATTAGCGCTCGTAGGCTACGCCAAGCGAGCAAGTTTGCGTCGTTTGCGCGCGTGCACACGCCGATGGTGCTCGTGCTCGGGAACCACTCGTCCGGCAAGTCGACGTTCATCAACCACATGCTTGGCCAGGACGTGCAAAAGACGGGCCGCGCGCCGACCGACTGCACGTTCACCGTCATCGCCGGCGGGAAGCGCGCCGAGCGCCTCGACGGCTACGCTCTCTCGCGCAACAACAAGTTTGGTTTTCAGGACATTAAGGGGCTCTTTGGCGCCGACTTTGTGTCGCAGGTCGAGCTCAAGATGCTCGAGAAGTGCGACCTCCTCGACGAAACTGGCATGATGATCATCGACTCGCCAGGCATGATCGACCCGCCGGGCACGTCCGCGGACCGCTCCGACATGGACCGTGGCTATGACTTTAAGCGCGTCGTGCGCTGGTTTGCCGGTATGCTTCCTTGCTTTTGCGAGGAATGACGTTTGATATCAATGTATCGAGTAGAGCGCGCCGATATTGTGCTGCTCATGTTTGACCCGGACAAGCCCGGCACGACGTTCGAGACGCTTGACGTGCTCACGTCGTCGCTTCAGCATGTCAACTCGAAGGTCCGGCTCATTCTCAACAAGGTCGACGACTTCAAGTCCGTCCACGACTTTGCGCGTGCGTACGGTGCGCTGTGCTGGAACCTCAGCAAAGTCATCCCCCGCAAGGTTCACACGCCATATATGATTGCATGTTTGCCTTACACGCAGGTAGGACATGCCGTTTATCTACTCGATGTACGTGCCCACGTCGCACATCCCGATGGAAGACATGTCGACGGGCAACGTCGACGAGGACATTCTTCGCCGGCTGCTTGTGACTGAATTTGACGGCACGCGCGGTGAAATCATCCGTGAAGTCCAGCGCGCACCCGACCTCGCCACCGAAAACCTCCTCACGATCTTCAAGGGCGTTTGTGCGCAGCTCAAGGTATACTCCGCTATTGTCCTACGGTCTCATTTGGCCCATCTTAGATGCACGTGACTCTTATCGAAGCGTGTCAAAAAGAGTACCTCTGGACCGAGAAGGTCCACTATGGCATTACGGCTGGCCTTGTTGCGTCTGGTGTCGGCCTCGGCTTGCTCTACGTGCTGCGGACATGGGGCACGAGTGCCTCGGATGTGGTCGTCGTTGCCGCCAGCGACGACGCCCCGCCGTCGTGGAAGCTCGAGTGGGCCAAGCAAGTCGCCTTTTCAAAGGTACTATTCTTGATCATGGTTTGTGATGGTATGTCATACTACGGTGTCCATAGCGCGTGTTTCGGTGGGGTAGCTTGGTCAAGATCCTTGTGTCGTCGGGCTTTGCCGCGGCGTTCTCGCACAAAATCGGCAAGCGTGCGCTGGAAGAAAAGCAAAAGGGCATTCTGCAGTGGCTCCCGCGCGTCTTTGAGACCGAGTATGCGCCCGTGCTGTGCAAGAACGACCGGCTCCACGACGAGACGCGCGCCATTTACGCGAGCATTCTCCCGACCCTTGAACTGGCGCTGACGGCGCGGCCGCTCACGGCGTTTGCTCCGTTTACGACGACTGACAAAAGTTACTTGGACGAGGTGCTCGCGACGCATGTTCCGCGCCTCGACCGCAGCGTCCGGGACCGCGCCGGCGACGACTATGCGTATTTGCGCTTCAAGCACTTTGAGAAACCGTCGCTCCAATCGCAATAGTTTAACATTTATACACACAACATGGATATTTGCAACGACACATGCGTTGTACACCGAAACGAATGATGCAAAAGAAACACATATTCAAGTTCATGACAAGGACACAAGAATGCACGCTACAGATGAACGCGAATCTAGTAGCCGGTACCACCGTTACCGGGGGTCACACTGCCAGGCGCAACCGTCGGGGCGCCAGTCGGGACCGTCGACGGGTTACCACCGGGCGTCACGCCGCCGTTGTTGGGCGTCGGGCCGGGTTTGCCGCCGGTGTTCGAGTTGATGTTAATGTTGGCGTTGGGGTTGACGTTGGGGTTGACGTT